AGGTTCTACCTATGATTCATTAAAGAATCCTGAGAAAATTCAACAGGCTTCAGATACTATTACCATTGCAGGAAACATGCATGGTACCCCAGAATCTCATATAGTAAATTTCACATCTGTATTTTAATCACAGGCCTGAGAAATCTGGAACCATAAGTTCTTTGGTGTTTAAATCAGAGGTCCCCAACCTTTTGAGCACCAGGGACCAGTTCTGTGGAGAAAGAGGACCAAAGGGGGCGTGGTTTCATGTACTGCCTGCGTTCCGCGGATGGGGCTTTGCTTGTTTGCGCAGACCAGTTTCTGGCATGCTGCGGCCCGGTACCCAGTGCTTTTTTTGTAAAAAAAAAAAAAAAAAAAAGGGTGCCAGAACTCACATACTTCATACAACCCGCCTTGCCTACCCTACAAGGTTCCATCCAAAAAAGGTGCCAGAACTCCGTTCTGGGCGTTCTATGAGAAAAAAAGCCCTGCTTCCATAAACTGGGAGTTGGGGACCCCTGGTTTAAATCTCCTTGTCATAAGTATATGATATGCATATTATCTACATTACAATACTTATAATTGTGTATATTCAATTATATATGAAATGTAAGAGATGTTCTAATTCTTAAGATTACATTGGCAACAGTATAATTTAAAGCCTATGAAAGAAGCTGTAAGTTTATAAAAGATGTAAGTTTACTATTAAGAAAGATCAGCATATCATTATCTAAATCCATGATAAGCCAAAGTGCAGTGGAAGAGCACACAGGAAATGCTTTTTAAATGAGAATCTTAAATTACCCTTCAAATGGTTAAAGTGCTTAAACAGTTTAGAGAATGTAAGATCAAGAGTCTACTTACATCATCGCCCGGCTCTCCTTTTTTCCCTTTAAGTCCTTTTGGAGCAAGGTCACCTCTTGCACCCTATCTCAAAAATGGTATAAAGAAGAGATTGTTTTGTATTTTCCTCTATAGCTCACTATTTTTTTCTCAGTACTTCATTTTCCTCTATTATTACTTCAGAAAGAGATTTCTGCCTGATTCAGTTAAGGGCTTAAGCAAAATTGAAATAAAAAGAAGTTCACGGGAAGAATATCTGAGCAGGAGATGATTTCTGAAAAGTGAAGTCCATGCCTCTTAAAGTTGCTGAGTTGAGAAACACTGGTATTAATATTGTGGCTCATTTTTGATCCTACTGGCATCTCAAGAGACCCCAGAACAACTCCACTATGGATGCCACCTATACATTCCTCCTGCCAGTTCTCCTAGCTGCTTCAAGGACCAGTTCCTCAACAAGTGAAGGAAAATAATAGGACATCACCTAATGTCCAATTTATTAGCAAAAGCAAGTACATAAGTATATAGTACCTCTGGGCCTGGCTGACCTTTTTCACCTTTGTCACCCTAGAAAGAGAGAAAAGTGTCTCAATTTTCATTTTGTCTTGCCATAGATTTGTTCAAATATAAGGAAGTATAAAATTTCATATGGTGATCAATAAATTAATTAGATTCGTTGACAGACAAACATAATTTTTGGAAGGCCAAGGGAATCAAGCAATTTCCCTTGGTTTCAACAAAGAATGTGAGTAGTAAAATATCTGATGAACAACATTCCAAAAAACTGAATCCATCATAACACATTAAATCACAGTTAATAATCATTGCATAAATCACAATTGGCTTGGTTCACATAACATATAATGTACCTGTCAGACCTGCCCCAATCAGATCCCTTAGGAAAGAAAAGCTTTTGACTCCATTTGATTAAAGCAAAGGGTTCTGTTACTAAGAGTGATGGTTGCAGTAAAGTCAAGTCAGCTCTGAAATCCCTGCGCTCGCTGGATACAAAAGTAAGGTGTAGGTTTGCCCCCCCATCCTATCCCTCCCCGCCATGACCAGTCAGTTTCCAGCCAACCGGAGCTCACCAAGAGGCTCTGAGAACTCTGAGATGTTTGAGGGTAATCAGCATATTTCTCAGGCTGCCTGGCCATGGGATGCTGGATCCAGGATCCGGCTGCTCTGATCCTTCTCACCTGTCATGCCCCCCTCCCGATTTCCTATCATGTACACACAAAGCTTTATTGCCCTTTCATGTTTCCCCCTTTCATTCTTCTCCCCTTCTTCCCCCTTTCATCCTCCCCTTTCTTCTTTTGATGGCAGGATGCCTGTGAGAGCAGGCAGAGCTGACATTATGCCCCCCTTGACAGGGACATTGGTCTTGCAGAAGAAGAAAAAAAGAGAGGGGAGGGAGAGATAGACAAAATTTCTCAATTAGCAAACAGTTCAATGCAGCTTATCTGGGTACTGGCCATGGAATTTTTAAAGCAGTTTGGGGCTTTAATATGTTGGGAGTGGTTTCTGAGGGAGGAAAGACTTTCCAGACTACCAAATACTGAGTTTTTTCCTGATGTATGTGAGAGTCCAAAATGACTTTGACTTCAAAGTACTGATGTACTTTGTACTCCCTCGATCATAATGGGGTTGGGAGGTGATTGCAATTCGGGACACAAGGAAGATGTGATTTCTGGCTTCAGTAGAATACAATGAAATACTGATTGTACACATCTAAGCATTTTTGGCAGCTCAAGTTCTACAGTTACTAGGTTAATAATCCTCTTGATGGGGAAAGGACCAATGTATTTTGGTCCCAATTTTTTTTTACATTTGCCTAGATTGTAGGAATTTGGTAGAGAGATAGACCTTGTCTCCCAACTTAAAGTCCTTTGGCTTGCTGCCCTTTTATCAGCCTGTTTTTTGTATGCTTCCTTAGCTTCATCCATAACTTTTCTCACCACTGGCCAGGTGTTCTGTAACTGGGCAACCCAATCTTTCAGTGATACAGTCAATGGGGTGGCCTGAGGTAATTCAGGGATAGATACAAAGTCTTGCCCTTTGGCTACTTTAAATGGAGTGAACCTGGTGCTACTGTGCACTGAGTTATTGTAGGCAACCTCCATGAAAGGGAGGAGTGTCCATCCAATTGTCCTGTTGGTAATTAAAATAACCTCTGAGGTACTGCTCCAGGATGCCACTGGCTCTCTCGCACCCCTTGTTAGTAGCCAGATGATGCAAGGAGCTGAGCCTCTGACTGGTCCCCAAAAGTTTTAGGAACTCCTGCCAAAGCTGCAAAATGAATTGGACTCTGCAATCTGAGATTATACTTTCTGGAACACCATGCAGCTGATAGATGTGCTGCATGACTAGTTTAGCCAAAGTGCGTGCTGAGGGACAACAGATTACCACCTAGATCACTGTATTCCCCAAGCTTTTGGGCAGTTCTATAATAAAGTCCATTGATATCTTTTTGCATGGGGCTTTGGACCCTACCACTGGCTGGAGAAGTCTGGGTGTTTTTCCTTCCCTGCAGAGGCACAAATAGGGCAATTAGCCATATAGCTCTCTATGTCCTTTTTCAGTGACAGACACCAAAATTGCTGCTTGATTAGGTGCAGGGTTTTTACGAAGCCAAAGTGCCCTGCCATTTTTGAATCATGACTTTTTTGTAGGACCATTAATCGTTGGCTTTGTGGGACATATAGTTTAGCTCCCATGCAAGCTAGACCATCTTGCATTGTACATTCTCCCTTGTGCATTTGGAACCACTCATCCTCTTCCAAAGCTGCCTTTATGATACCCTTTAAATCATCAGCTAATTGAGTTTTCATTTTGGCTTGTGCCTGGATGGTGTCTGGGACCACCAGTTGCCTGGAGGGGATGATGGTTTAATCACCTCCAGCTTTAAACTATTGTATTGTGGCAGCCTGGATAAAGCATCTGTTAGAAAGTTCCTCTCTCTGGGAGGTACCTTAACGTGAAGTTGAATCGGTTAAAGTACTGGGCCCAGTGAGCCTATTTCAGCAAGAGTCTCCAGGGGTGTCTGTGTTAATGCTTCTAAATTTTTATGGTTAGTCCATACTTCAAACAGGGCTTTCCTTCCTTCTAAAAATGCCCCCAGCGTACTGCATAGGCTTCCTTCTCCCAAATTGCCCATTTCTGCTCTGTCTCATTTAGTTTTTTAGAAATGTAGGTGCAGGGCTGCAGGACTCCTTGCTCATTTTCCCGTAAAAGCACCCACCGCAATATCACTGGCATCAGCCTGAATGACGAAGAGGGGGTTGGGGTCTGGGTGTTTTAGCACCAGCTCTGCTGTGAACAAGCGCTTAAACTTTTCAAATGCAGCCTGGCATTCCATAATCCATTTAAGTGGGTGGCTGGGTTTGGGTTTCCCCTCCCCTTTTGTCTTTAGCAGGTTGGTGATGGGGAGGGCTATCTGGGCAAATAAGGGGATGCACTGGTGGTAAAAGTTCACAAATCCCAGGAAACTTTGTAGTTGTTTCAGGGTGTGGGGAGGAGCCCACTCCAGCACTGCCCGCACCTTTTTGGGGTCCATCTCTATCCCCTTGTGGAAGATGTGGTAGCCTAGATAGTCGATTTTACTCTGGTAGAATTCACATTTGGACAGCTTTGCATATATTTCAGCTGCTCAACTATCTTGACCATAGCTCTGATTAGTTTTACGTGTTTTGCCATGGTCTCAGTATAGATTAAAATGTCATCCGGGTAAACTAACACTCTCTTATAAGGTGTTCATGCAGAGTTTCATTTATTCATTTTCATTTATTAGCTGCAACAAAACAACAGGGGACCTGGAATTGGAAGGGGCAATTGAAAGCCATTTCCCACTCATCCCCTGCTTTGATCCTCACTTGGTAATACACCTCCCATAAATCCAACTTGGTGAAGACCCTTTCTTTTGGCCAAATGGGCCAGCATATCCTTCATGAGGGGGAGTGGGTAAACATTTTCCACACACACAGCATTAAGCCCACGATAGTCAACGCATAGATGAAGGGACCCATCCTTCTTCTCCCGAAACAGTACTGGGCAGCTACCCTTAGTCTGGTGGGTTGGATGAATCCACGGTTCAGGTTTTTGTTTATAAAAGTCTACAATTCCTCCAATTCCCTAGGGGTCATGAAATACCATTTAGGTTTGGGTAGTTTGAGTCCCGATACAATTTCTATGACACATTCAGTTGGCTGGTGGGGTGGGAGTGTGTCTGACCCTTCTCACTGAAGATGTCCCATAATGACTAGTACTCCTTGGAGATCCGAGGGTCACCCTGTGGCTGATCTTTGGCAGCTACTCCCATCTCCCTTTTCGGTTTCGCCTGCTGCAGCTTCGGGGTAGGTTTTTGACGGCCCTTTTCCTCTCCCTCTTCACAGCCGGCAAGCTCGATTTTTAGCAGCTCTCTCCTCCAGTTCACACAGGGGTTCCATTTCTGGAGCCAACACAGTCCTAACACAAGAGTCCTTTCCATTCCAGGGGCTACGATGAAGCTTAGGGTCTACATCTGTATGCCCACCCTCATCTCTATTGGTTCAGTAACAAATGTTGCTGCCCCCACCACTGAACCCTCCAGCTGGAAAAAAGCTATGAGCACTTTAAGCTGTTTCAGTCTCACACCCAGTTTCTTGACTAGGGCAGGCCTGACCAATAAAAATGACAATAAAGGTTATCTTATCTTATCTTATCTTACCATGCATCTGGTGCACCCCGAGTACAGGAGGGCTACTAGGCTCCCTTTTTGCCCTGAGGATTGAACCACCAGTTCTATGGAGATGGTCACTGGGTTGACCAGGCAACTTATCAAGGGATCATCATTGTAGTCTGATTCGCTTTCCACCAGGCTGCCCATCAGGTCAGTCGGAGTTCTCTTGCCCTCTTTGGGGGATGGGGTGAACTCTATGAGTTCTACTCCTTTCAGGGCAGTTTCATGGGCTCACTGGGTTTTGGGCAGGACCCTGATTTGCTTTCTGGGCTGGGTGTGCAGTTCAGCAGTCGGCAGCTCAGTGCCCCTCCTTCCCATACCTGAAGCAGCCAGTGGATCGGTGATGTGGGCTATGCTCACATGGCTCCGGTTTTGGGCCTCTTTCTTTTCAGGGGATCTTTGCCATCCACCACTCAACCAGTATCTGGATCAGGGCAGGTCAATTTCCACTTCCTCTGCTAGGACATACCAGCCATGGAGGTTGGCGGGGGCACCTCTGGAAATGCAGGTGTTGTAGTCCTTGTCACTTAGCCCATCTTGGAAGCATCTGATCAAGATGTCTTCTGGCCAATTGGGTTGTCCTCTCCCAGCCATCTGGATAGATCCAGCCCTCCAGGAGGGGTTTTGAGGATGCTTCCCCCCCCCAGGCCTTGAACTTTTCATGGTTGCTGCCTTGAACTGACATCCTTTTCATGGTGCCCATGGTAGAGGCGATTTCCTCTCCAGGTTGACCACAACCATAGAGCTGGCTTAATGTCAGACCTGCCCCAATCCGATCTCTTAGGGGAAAAAAAGGCTTTGACTCCATTTGATTAAAGCTAGGGTTCTTTTACTAAGAGTATTGGTTGCAGTAAAGTCAAGTCAGCTCTCAAATCACTGTGCTTGCTGGATATGAAAATAAGGTGTAGGTTTGCCCCCCATCCCATCCCTTCCCCTGTGACCAGTCCATTTCCAGCCAACCGGAGCTCGCCTTCTTCCGAGCCAGGCAGAGTTGACAGAACCTATTATGGCTAAGTATGATCTGTCAGTGTTTTCTCTGTCAATGGACATTGGATCGAATGCATATGGCTTAAACACAATAAAAGTTTAAAGTATACAGTATGCTAATTGTTTATAAAACATTTTCTTAATTGCTATTCCATAGAAGTATTAAAAATTTTGCATTTTTTAATGGATTTGCATTTGAAATAATCCGTTACAAAGATAATTCCCTCATCTATTTGTAAAAGAAAATCATTGTGAAACTGCTCAGTTAGAACATTATTTTCTGTTGTATGTTTTTAATCAATGCTTTGCTATATTTTTCAGCTCATTTATTTTACTTGTCCATGATGTGAGCAAAAGAGATGGGAAGAGGCTACTCATTTCTTTAGAAAATATTGGGTAGCAGCAAGCAGGGGGGGAACTCTGTTTATTTTAGTAAGTGTTAAGAAATGGATAAGGGCTCACTTGTGTTTTTCTATTTCACAATAAAAATGCCTTGCAAGGACATTGTTATTACAGCTTTAAATTTGGCAGTATTTCCTTAAACTGTCAGTCAACCACTCTCCTGCTTGGTTGCAGGATCATTCTAAGAAGTTCAAAAGAGAAGGATGTGAATGTAAATGACTGCCTTCCCAGAGAAAGAGAGATTTTTAGTTTCTAAACCAGCCAGGAAACTGCTCGTCTTGGAAGGATTAAAAATGAACTTTTCTAATGGTGTTTTTCATATTAAGCAATTAATATAAATATGTCATGTCATAAAAACATACCCGGGGTCCCCTGGGACCAGGAACACTTAATCCAGGTCTTCCCCTATCACCCTATGATTAAAACAAGAAAATAAACACACAATTCAAACATTTCATATATGACTCCAGAAGTTTGCTTCTTACTAATCTGTATGACAATTTTGCTTAGCTCTTTTTATTTATATATGACAATTATTTGTATGCCACTAACTCTAATGTCTCTGGACAGCTTACATGGAGTTATTATATCACAACATCCATGAAATCACCAATTCCATAAAATTTACACCAAGATTTCTTTTATAATCTGAAAGAAAATTAGTACCATATATTTTATAGATGGTATACAACTCCATCAATAATTTCCATGATAGAGAAACCATACAATAATAAATGATGGAAATGCCAGGAAACAGAAGAAAAAATTACCAAAAGAGATAGACACTTAAAAAAAAAATCAAAATTACTGAAAAGATATGCATAGTACAATGCAGAAAACTTAAATTCAAAATGAAATCACAACATTTCTTACTAGGTATAATTTCAAAAAACCTCAATAAGAAGTATAAAATCTAACCAATTTTATGTTTGTCAACATTAATATTTTAGAAATCATAGTTAATATTGATATATTTTTTTAATTTATTTATAAAGTGTACATTATCTACCCATCCTCACCAAAATTTATAAAAAACAACACAAAAGTCTGTTCATGACCGCCATTAAAAAACAATTGGCTGGCCTTTTAATTTGTTTATTTGTGTGTGTGTGTGTGTTTGTGCATGTGGGCATGTATGTGCATTCACATGCATCTTTAAATCAGCACTAACTCCTGGCAACTGTCTGGAAAATTCCCTGCAGGTTTTTTGGCAAGGTTTTTTGGAAGTGGTTTGCTATTGCCACTGCCTCCTTCTTCCTAGGCTTCTCATTTCGAAGGCTAGGAGAGAGTGATTGCCCAAAACCACTCAGATGATTTCAGGTCTCAGATAGAACTAGAATTCACAGTCTCCTGTTTCTACCCTCAATCATTATATCAAACTGACTTTCCTTTTAGGTTTAATAGGCCTTTAATGAGCAAGCGGTATAGAAGAACCCAATTTAGTTGGCAAGAAATACTGGCTGAAAGATAATGAACAACTTACTAAGAATGCTATGAATCTGAATTTTCAAGAAAGACAGGCAGAATGATGAAGACATTCTTGACCATAGGCAGTCTTAAAATAAGGCTGTCTTTAGCTGATTTAATCAAGTTATAAATATTATAAAAATAACCAGAGCAAACCTAAGTCTGTTTCTGGTAGCTACAGGTCTTACCTTGGGTCCTTTAGGCCCCATGTCGCCCCTTTCACCTTCCCTCCCAGGATCTCCAGCTGAGCCCTGCAAACAGGAAGTGGGGAGAAATCAAAGAGATGGAATATAGAGATGAATTTAGCATTTAGGATCCCATGATCAACATCCTTTCCTCCATTTACAAGGGGGTCTCTATATTAACTTTTTTTCATATTTAGCCAGTCGTTTTTCCTTCCATCTGCTTTCTGCCAATCCATGACAGGCAACAGAATTGAGATGAAGGCACTCTAGATTTTCAGGCACTGCTTCTTTGTACATTTAGAGACCACACTTTAGTATACTGTAGTATCAAATCTCATGCTAAAATCCCTGGCCTAGCCATTGAACTTTTTTGTTTTTTCCCCCGATCGTTTGCTATGTGCATCATTTTTTAAATGAAGAACTGCATTCCGTATTATAATATTTATTGTCATGATTAAAAATTATACTCAAATTGTAAGTGAGAGAGAGAAATATACATTAACAAAAATTCAAAAAACACTTTTTCCCAAAGTTGAAATGCAGATACAGCACATCATTTGAAGTGTTATTATTGTTTATTCTCTTGGGTCATTATGGACAATTCTAGTAAATAACAAAATAAGAGTAATAGATTTTTGATCCTCCCAGAGATGGTGTGAACCATAGTGACACTGAGCTGGACAAATAGGGAGAACTGGACAAGTGAAATCTATAGCAAGAAGCAAAGAGTAAGAGTTTTATTCTTGATTGAAATGGTTTGCACAGGGAAGAAAATGTATTATTTTCTTATTTTGCTGCTCCTTGGAAAGCAACAACATAGGGAGTAAGTTAATGGCTGTATCCTGTAAATGTGCTTAGATAAACTTACAGGGTTTCCTTTTTCGCCCAGAGGACCTGGTGGACCACGCTGGCCTGGTGGTCCTTGATCTCCCTGTGAAACAAAATGTGAGATGAACAGTCAGAGCTATCCCTCACTTCAGATTCTGTAGACATATAGAGGCTTACCTAGAGAGTAAGGCCACCCTAAGTCATAACATGTGGAAATGAGCCTATTTATTGTATTATATATAGGTAATCCTTACAATCACAATGGAGCCCCACATTTTTGTTACTAAGCAAGACAGTTGTTAAGTGAATTGTGTCCCATTTTACAACCTTTTTTGCCCCAGTGAATGTTAAGTGAATCACTGCAGTTAAGTGAATCATGTGTTAAGTAAATCTAGATTTCCCCATTGACTTTGAATGTTGGAAACCAGTTGGAAGGTTACAAATGGTGATCGCCTGACCCCGGGATGGTGCAACTGTCGTAAATACAGGCCAGGTGTCAAGTGCCCAAATTTTGATCACATGACCATGGGAATGCTATAATGGTCATAAGCTGAAAACTGATCATAATTCATTGTTTTCTGTGCTGCTGTAACTTTGAATGGCCACTAAATGAATGGTTCTAAGTCAAGGACTACTTATATTAGAATATCACAGAAATATTTTGCTTATATATTATCAACCTTGTTTTAGCTATAACTGATTTCACAGTTCAAGCCTATAAACCTGAACTCATTCAACCATATGGTGACAAGCAACTGTCAATCCTTATAAAATTAATTTAATGATTATTGCAAAACAAGGAATCAGAAATATTTATTGTTCATCAGAATTCAATTTTCATGCTCTATTATACTTCAAACTTTGGGTTGCACCAGAGACTTAGAATCTCATGCTGCAGAAATGGCCCAAAAAAATTTCACTGCAACAACAAATAAGGAGGAACAATTTCTATTCGATAGCTTTGCAGTCTTTAGACTATATTTCCTTAAATGCACACTATGGATTTAGGATTTAGGATTTATTTCATTTATACCCCGCCCTTCTCCCGGAGGACTCAGGGCGGCTTACAGCCAGTTAAAACAATTACACAAAATACAAATCTAAGATAAATTAAAAATAAATATTCGAATCGGCCGCACTACTAAAATTTAATTAAAACCAATTTAAAATTACCCCTAGGCCAGTCCTGCCTGCTGAAA